GACTTGGCTGGCTCAAACTGCACTTTCCAATCCGAGCCCCAACTGGATACTAGGTCGACAGCAGCCTGGAGTACTCTAGCGTTGTCAGGAACAGCAGCGAGCGTTGCAATTTCGGCGTATAGGGTTGTGTCATTGGCGAATGAGGCAAGGTTGGAGCCGATTGGGAGGTGGTCTTCAAGGTCGTTGACGTAGACAAAGAATAAGGTGGGGCCCAGGATACTGCCCTGTGGCACCCCAGCCTTAACTGGGCGTCTGGCTGATGTCTGGCCGGAGATGAGGACTTGAAGTGTGCGGTTGCGGAGGTAGTCTTGGAGCCACCGATGCAGGTCTCCCAAGATGCCATACACTCTAGCCTGGTGCAACACACCAGTGTGAGACACCCGGTCAAATGCTCCAGCAATGTCGATGGCCAGCACTCGAGAAGCTCCTTTATCTCCGGCGGTGTGCACCCACTGGTGGTGGAGAGCAGTCAGCAGGTCTGCTGCACTGTGGCCGCGACGGAATCCAAATTGCCGTTCTGACAGGACGTGATTCGTCTCCATGAAGTTGCTCATTGCCCTGTTGACTATGGTCTCCATGACCTTGGAGAGGATGCTCAGTAACGACACTGGTCGATAGTTTGATGGCGACGATTTAGACTTGCGCTTGTGGACTGGAACCACGTTTGCAACCTTCCACTGTTGTGGCTGGATACCGGAGCGAAGACAGCATGTAAATAGTTTTGAAAGCGGCCATGCCAATTCTGCAGAGCAAGCTTTCAAGACGCGGGCAGGTATCCCATCTGGACCAGTGGCCTTGGTGGGGTTGAGCTGGCGGAGAGTTCGCTCGACTGTGGTTTCGCGAAACCGGACGGTGCAGAGGTTGCGGTCAGTACGTGGTCGGACGTAAGGAAATGGAGCGGATAGGTCGTCTGCCCCTAGACTGCATTTGTTGGCGAAGTGTTCGGCCATGCACTCTGCTTTGCTGCGGTTGGTGTCGTGCTCCGTACCATCGGTGCTGCGGAGAGTAGGTATGGATGGGCTGTTTCCGTGGCCAGAGGCCTTCTTGATGGTTCGCCACCATTCACCAGACGCCATACACCCAGAGGCTAACTTCTGCGCCAGGCTTGCTGTGAATGCCTGCTTGGCAGTTGCCAGGCAATGGTTAGCCGAGTGCTTGGCGACATTGTAACGGGCTTGCAGCTGGGCACTTGACCGGTCGGCGCAGAGTCTCCTCCATGCTCTTTGTTTCTGTGCTACAGCCTCAGTACATTCCGGTGTCCACCAAGAGGGGTTAGATGGTTTCATGCACAACTGCTTAGACGGTATGTATCGGCGCATTCCTTCCAGAATATTCTGGGTCAAGTGCATACACATTGCATCAGGATCATCACTGACAGTGGACTGCCAATCTGTTGTTCTAAAGAAGTGGCGGAGTCTGTCCCAGTCTGCGTGTTGGTAACGCCAGACAGTTCTGGTCACTGGTGGTTCCTCTGCTGTGCTTACATGAAAGTCAGCTAGGACACAGGCATGGTCAGAGTTTCCCAGAGGTGCTAAGGTATTGACGGTCGCATCTCCCGGTAGGTCAGTCATTATTAAGTCGAGTGGGTTAAGGCCCCTGGTGGGCTCATGCACGTGCTGCTCCAAGCAGTGAAAAGCACACATGTCTTCAGTGTACACACCTGCATGAGTTGTCTTGGTGCTGCCGAGCCAATCCACGTTGTGTACGTTAAAATCTCCAGCCAATACCACATATTGACAAGATTTACGGGCCAGGTCTATGCCAGCACTGATGGCTTCAAGGGTACTGATGTCATTGTCGTGGCAGGAGCCAGAGCGATATGCAGCACACACAGCCACTGACTTCTTATCCACAGTTCTGACACTCAGCCATATTAGCTCCTCATTACCGACCTGGATGTCATCGAGTTCTCGGAGGGCCAGACTGGCTTTAACCCAAACCGCAACTCCTCCTCCATGAGCTGTTCGATCCTTCCGCAGTGGGGAGTAGTACCCAGGCAAGGACAGTTCGGAATCAGTAGCCTTCTCAGGGGTTAGCTTGCTCTCTGTGACAATGGCAATGTCAGGTTGGTGAACGTGTACAGCATGGTGAAAGTCACCAAGTTTACTCAGTAGTCCAAATGTGTTCGTCAGCAGGATCCGAAAGGATCTAATTGGAGCTTTGAGCTTGAGTGTCGGAGGACTCGGAGAGAGCGTCACTGTGTGAGCCGGACAAGGTGTCCCCCTTTGGAGCATCACTGAGAGTGTCACTGTGGGAGCCGGACAAGGTGTCCCCCTTCGGACGCTCACGGTGGCGCCAAACCCGCGCGTACAGTGGGCGAGGCCAAAAGTTTGTAGCAGTGGCGATTTCAAGGTCAGTCGCATCGATCATCAAGCGGGCAGACACTTTCCCATCTTCTGTGGTGTGTATGCTGCACTGGTGAACCTTCACCGGTTTGTTTACTGCTGCAGAGCGTTGCTCAGTGAATTCCTTGACACTTTCTTCACTGCTATGTGAGTTCAAATTGCCCACATAGATTACGGCTTTCTTCACTCTGTGAGGTTCGTTTGATACCAGTTTCCACGTGTCATCCGTGATTGGCTCTAGCTTCAGTGGCTTGGGCTTGACAGTGGGCCGCTCAATTGCCTGGGACTTGTCCTCATCCTCCGTTGACGTTTCATGGTCACTGGCAGGGTCACCCACGCTACGGGAAGTGCTACGGTGTTCGTCTGCATCAGTGGTACACGTGGCAGCCTGGCCTGCGCGAGTACGGGTACGCTTGCTGGTCCTTCCCGCTGTACTCTCCATCGTACGCTGGCTGTGCTGGTTGTGGGCAACTGCTGGAGGAGTCAGGGGAGAAGCACTTGCTGCGACAATGGCGGACTCCCTGAGGGCGACAACCTCCTCGTTCAGGCCTGCAATTTGCCTCGATAAATCATCGATCCTATTCTTTAGTCGTGTCTCGCGGTCTGCGGACTCCGTCACAAATGTTGCCAGCGTCTTTACTACGTCTAAAATCGAAGACTCGATCCCGGGGAGGGAGCACAACAATTTTACCTCCGAATCCGTCAGCCCGCGAACGGCAGCTTTTGCTGGAGGCATGGCGGATGTGGGCCAAAGCTATCCGATGTCTACCTTGTTTCCTACTACTACTACTATACCTAATGTTTGAAACCAGGCCGGCCTTGTGCCGGTTTCCTGGCGAGAAACTGTGGGAGCCTCAGAGCGCGAAAACCTGCACCCTGCTCCAAAGTTTCGCGTGCGGATATGACCAATCGCATTGCACCTATCAGGGCATAGATGAGGCGATGAATGCAGGTTATACTACAAAAAGTAGAACTCCGTATAGACCTTATTCGATAACGCGGTTTTTGGACTCGCCTCCAGGGATTTGTCGTATTCTGGGGCAAGCGTACGTGAAACGAGTTGCAAGAAAGGCTCAGGTCGTACAAGGGAGTAGTAAAATGCCAGTATTTTCTATTCCTATGTTCCCACGCCAAGTCCACTGTGCAATCAGTGAAGGTCTCGTGGCACTCCCTGGTTCCTGGAACTCCGGATCACGTAATTGTGACGTTTATCTAATAAGGTCTATTTGGTTGGTTTTGTTGGTTGGGTGGTTTTTATTTCACTTCGCACATTCAAACGGGATGACGACCCAATAAAATGACGGCGAAGGCTTAGCCTAGAAGTGGCTATAGAAGAACATAGTAAAAGCTATGGAAGCACATAGTAAGAGAATAGGATACCAATAACTGCGAGTAAACGGGGGGAGAGAGAGAATACGATGTATCTGTGATACTAGGTGAGGGTTACTTAACTATTTAGTGGAGCGGGCTTTGATTTTCCCGACAAACCCCGCCTGAGGTGGCTTAGATTTTACGATGAAAGCCCTCTTTGATTATACGATGAAAGCCCGCTCCACTAGAACTTTCATTACTGATCAAGTTCGCATTTTTTACTCGATTCGAGCTCGAGAAGGTTGAGTCGGGCTTTCAAGCGCGATAGAAAAATCGAAATGCGTGTTCATGTCACAAATCCAATCAAAACAGTCGTGTTCATCTTCTGTCAGCCAATCACAGCCCTTCTCGAAGTATTTACCAGTTCTATACGAGTTTCAAGCGTGGGTGCATGCCAGAAATGAAAACAGAACATTCGTACTATTGTCCGATCAGACTAAATCCAAGCCCTTCGCGCATCATGTAGCGGTCTGTCATTAGGTGATCTCACACTCGTACTCTTGCTTGATTCCACAATTATAACGCATTCACGCTGCACAACTTTTCACTACTTTCACTTTAGCTCATACGTGTACATGTACATCCTTCAAAGCGGTGAACCCCTTGATAGGCGACAAGCCTCTGGGTCATCCTAATAAAGATATTATTATTAAGATATTATTATTATAATTCATGTCCAATGGTGGCACAAAGCACCACACAAATCCACGTGTCTTCGTACAATGTACACTGTACAGTTTCCTCGGGGTCAAAAGGCTACGACATTGAGGGCGTGTTGGATTGGTTGGATCCGGATCCAGATCAATTGAGTGGATCCTTTGGACACTCCGAATTTCGATTTTATGTTGCAGTTGCTAAAAGTTGCAATTTTATCGATTCTGGACAGTATTCATAGGAGAAAGCAACGATTTCCTCATCGTCGTGTGATGTCTACCTTCACAGTCATGCACAAACACTCAAGGACACAGGTTGAGGTTTGGAAGAATACAATTAGATACAAGTGTGAAGAAGACAGGTATTCACAGACAACCAGGTCAAGCCAAGCATGCACTTCAGGCGACTAGTCCAAGATGGCGCATGCTGGTTGTGACGTACTACACAGGCAAAATATATGACGTAATAGTCACGTGATAAGACATGAGCATCATATCACATCATGCCCCTTCCGAGATAAAACAGTGGTCTAGCCAGGTTTATCTCAACAACTAAATGAAAAATATCAAATACAGTGTACGAGAACGAGTAGGAACTGCGCACGCAGCAGAGAACAGAGCACTAACACAGCTAATCATATGACTTAGTGGAATGCGAGGCAATGTCCAGGCGGTTAGGTGCAGTGCGAGAGCGTTGGCTGCGGCGGAGCGGTTGCGGATCAGAAGAGGCAACGTTAGCAGCAGGATTGCCAGCAGGCGGCGTGCAGGTTGGGGCTGGAGGGATAACAGCAGCAGTTACGGGTCGGAGGAAGCGACGGTTGCGCCAGTAGGTGCGGCCACTGGGTACCTTGACGAGGTAGTCACGATTGCGACCGACGGCAACAATGACACCGCTGGTGTGCCACAGCTTGGACCGTGGATCCTGGAGATCAACACCACAGCCGATGCGTAGCGGAGGGAGGGGATTAGCAGAGTCATCGTAGCGGCCTGCAACGGCGGCAGACTGCTTGGCTGCGGCAGCGTCAACAGAGTCAGACTCAGCCTGCCATTCAGGGGCGAAGCTGGTGTGGCGGGCGATGACAAACGACGTAAGTGGTCGCCCATACAACGCTTGGGCAGGGCTCCGGCCGTGGCTGCGTGGAGTATTGCGCCACTCCAGCAAGCCACGTTGGAAGAGGTCGATGTCGAGGTTGCCATTGACAGTCGTCTTGGCAATCAGCAGCTTCATAGCTTTGACAGCCGGCTCGGCATGTCCGCTGGATTGCGGAAAGTGTGGCGAAGACGTGCTGTGGTCAACTTGCCAACGGCTACAGAAATCGGCAAATCGGCGAGAAGAGAACTGCGGGCCGCCATCTGTGGTGAGAACTCGAGGAACACCAGTGTCCGCGAACCAGCGGCGGAGGGCATGGATGACGTCCAAAGTCGAGGCCGTTCTGCCGAGTTTGGCGACGCACGGCCAACCAGTGTGGCGATCTGCATAGACGAGGAACTCCCATCCTTGACATGAGAAGAGGTCAGCACTAACGAACTCGAATGGGAGAGTGGGGCGACGATCTTCGGTAACACGGAGGGGCTCCTTGCATTGGGATGGGGCATGCAGCCGGCACATCTCACAACTGCAGACTGTGTTAGCGATGTCGTTAGAGATGTTCGGCCGAAACACAACTTGGCGGGCACGACGTTGAGCACGGGTGAGACCTTGGTGTGCTGCATGCAGGTCCTGGAGGACACGAGAACGTAAGGCACGAGGAATGACAACACGTTGGCCCTTAAGGACGAGATCACTGTCCACAGAGAGGTGCTCACGGACTGTCAAGTACGGCTTGAGAGCAGGGTCGGCATTAGCCGAATTAGTCGGGAAACCATGACGAACGGCGTGCACGAGTGCTTGATAATCAGGGTCAGCTCTCGCAGCTTCTAGTAGCTCGCTGAAGCGGAGATCGACGCTACGGCCATCATCATCTTGGCGTAGGCACGCGCGAACAGCGGGCGCACTGAGGGCTGGACTCTCGCCAAATTCTTCATCACTGTGAGGCGTGTCAACTGGATGCCGAGAGAGAGCGTCGGCAAAAGCATTGTCGGTGCCTTTGCGCCATTTGGCAACGAACTGGTACGGGCGCAGCTTCAGGATCAAACGCTGCAATCGGGGGTTCTCGATCTGGTCAAGAGAATACGAGTTCAGGATCGGGATTAGTGGGCGATGATCAGTACAGAGCTCAAACGGTGCACCGGACAAGAACAGGGAACACTTGTGTACGGCCCATACAGCTGCTAGCAGCTCAAGCTCGATGACTGCGTAGCGTGTTTCAGCGTCCGAGAGAAAGCGACTGCCACATTGAAGCAGGCGCCACTTGTCGTCTTGGAGTTGCCAAAGTGCGTACCCGAGGCCGTTCAGGACTGAAGCGTCTGTCTCAAGCCGGAGTGCATTTCCGTGCTGAAAGAACGATAGCACAGATGGGGAGACGAGTTCTGCCTTTGTAGCATCGAATGCTGCAGTGTGGACGGAGTCCCAGACAAACTCATTGGATGTCTTCAGGAGCGGTCGGAGAGGTGCCGCCAGCTCGGCGAGTCGTGGCGTGAAGACGCTGCACTGGTTGACCAGGCCGAGAAAGGAACGCAAGTCGGTGCGATTGCTGGGTGTGCTGAAGTTCTGAATGGCTGACGTCTTGGCGGGGTCCACAGTGTAGCCGTCAGAGGACACGGTGAAGCCACAGAATTCAACAGTGCTGGCAGCGAAGGTGAACTTCTTGGCGCTGAGAGTAATACCATGATCACGGGCTCTCTGCAAGACTGCACGGACGTGGACGAGGTGGTCATCGAAGCTTACATTGTGAACGAGACCATCGTCAACGATTTTGAAGAAGTTCTGCAAGCCATCGAATGCAGAGTCAGTCCGACGGTTGAATTCATCACCGGCCGACACCAGGCCTTGCGGGTTGCGGCAGAATCTGTATCAGCCCCATGGGGTGATGAACGTGGTTAGGACTTTGGCGTCCTCAGTCAATGGGATTTGCCAATAGCCGTGACGGGCGTCAAGGGTGGTGAAATACGTGGCAGGACCCATGGCAGAGAGACATTCTCGGGCGTTGCGCATAGGGTGTGTTGGCCGTTTGACTTGGCGGTTCAGTGTCTGCAGGTCGACAGTCAGCCGCTTCTCAGTTGAGCCCTTCTTGTCAACAATGACTATTGGGTGACACCAATCAGACGGGTCGGACACAGTTTCAACAATGCCTTCAGATACCATGTCATCCAGCTGAGCTTTGACCTTCTCGCGGTAAGCATAGGCGATCGGACGGGCAGTGTACACACGGTGAGGCTTGGCATCGGGTTCAAGAACGATGTCCATCGGGGGCCCAGACATTGGTTTGAGAGTACTGTCGTCAAAGACGTCGGAAAACTCCTCAAGCAACTGTGATCGGATTTTCACGAGGTCTGTCGGGCTGGGCGTACGTGGAGTGCTCACACGTGCGACTGGCTGGGGCCAGCCGGGCGGCAAGAAATTTAGGGCTCTCAATGAGGAACGTGACAGCAGTGCGTCGTCAAGACCGTCATAAACATTGAGCACGCTGTCATGTGATTGGTCATTGACCTGGTTAGTGACACAAATCTTGCCGACAGTGACGAGCTTGTCGCCACTCGCTGTCCGGACGTCGTCAAAGTCACTGTCGAGATTCTCAACGAATCCGCCGAGCACGGAAAGTTGCCGGATGCCAATTGCATCGATGTCACTCCCAGTGTTCGGGATCCATTGAAGCTGCACTGGCTGTGGTTCAGTGCATAACTGTGTTGCAAGTTGAACAGTGTCGGAGCCGAACTCCTGCGCGCGCCGGACCTTCAACATGCCAATCTGAGTTTGCTTCTTACGTTTCGGGCACATTGATTGGAAATGGCCAGCAACTTTGCATCCGTTGCAGAATTTCCCAATGGCTGGACATGCAGACTTGGTGTGCGCGGAACGACCACAGTTTGGACATTTAACTGGTGCTTTCGGAGCAGCTGAGGACTTATTAAAGGAGTGAGCGGCAGACTGTCGCTTCTGCTGCTGGTACGCGGACTTCCGTGCGGCGTTGACATGCGCCGCCTGCCCAGGAATGTTGTGGGAGGTGTCAGACGCGGCTTCCTCCGCACGGCAAAGTTTGATGGCTGCATCCAGGGTCAGGTCTGGTGTGGCAAGCAACTTGTGTCGGGTTTCCTCGATGGATATGCCGACGACAATGCGGTCACGCAGTACATCATGTGTGACTTGTTGTAGGATGGACTTGCACCCTCCGCATATTTGGCCCGAACCTGTAGTGCATAGTGACAAGTCCGGAAAATCACATGCATTATACGACTCTCTCAGGGAGGGGAAAAACGCGTCAAACGGCTCAGCTCTGGACTGCTTACGATTGTAAAATGCTAGTCTGTCCAACAAAGGATTACGTAAACGTCGCAAATACTTTTTGACGGCGGCGATGATAACATGAACATCGTCGTTTGCACCGATGGGGATGATACCCTCGCGGAGAAAGCGGCGGAGGTCCTCGTCAAACGCTTGACGAAGGGCGCTCACCCTGGTGTTCAAGCCATGAGAAGCAAGTTGCTGGCACGCTGAATAGTCTTCCCAGGCTTCTTCCCATGTGGCGAAATCAGCCAAAGACGCAGTAGAAAGCAACATTGGACGATCCACAGACAGCGGCTTTGGTGTTGGTGCGGATGTGGGTGTCGAGCGTGTAGACGTTGGGGCTAAACCCGTGGCCTGTTGTTGTTGCTGTTGGAGACTTTTCAAAGTGTCTTGAAACAGTCTTGAAACAGTTTGGACAATTGTTGTTCTCTGGCCTTGGCAGCTTGCATCTGCGCTGCGACTAACTGCTGCGACTAACTTAGTGAGAGCAGCGACTCCAGAGAGTTCGGCTTGGCCATCACCGTCCGACATTTCGAAACAGGTTCGACACGAACAAAATGCAAATTTGAAAATTCCGGCCTGCGCGTAACACAACGAGGTGCAAACACAGGGTACGAAAAACCGGCAGCAACAAAACAGGTAGAGTATGTTCACTGCGCCATGTGATGTCTACCTTCACAGTCATGCACAAACACTCAAGGACACAGGTTGAGGTTAGGAAGAATACAATTAGATACAAGTGTGAAGAAGACAGGTATTCGCAGACAACCAGGTCAAGCCAAGCATGCACTTCAGGCGACTAGTCCAAGATGGCGCATGCTGGTTGTGACGTAATACACAGGCAAAATATATGACGTAATAGTCACGTGATAAGACATGAGCATCATATCACATCACATCGCATTTATCTGTGCACGCATCACGTGTAGAGTACTTCAAAAGACGTACGTTGTTTGGAACAAAAAGAATCCGGTACATCCATTCAAACGATTCCGAATCCTGATTCGACCTATCGAATCAGGATGCGATTGATATAGATGTTATTGATCCTGATCCTAAAAATCGAGAATGTAGTCAGTGGAGCTTCTCACTCCATGTCCCCCTTTCTCCCCGTGTCCCGGGCCACAAGTTCCCTGTTGACTGTGGGTTGCAGCACGGCTGGAAAAACCACTGCCAGGTAGGACTTTGAAACAAGTACCTCTCGCATCTGGATCGTAGTCTTTGACCAAACACAGTGCGTGCGGATTGGGTCACGTGGTAGAATTGCACTACATTTTTTTGCCTGTGTGTTTTGAATTCAGTACCTGGTACAAGGACAATAATTAAATTGAAACAAGGAAAACGGTGGGGCACAAGTTATGCATTCAAGTCCACCAACTAAACCAAGTTTTGAACAGTCAGACGTGCACAAGGTAGCACCCGACTGACAAAGAGTACTGAGACATTCCACGGCTAGGCAGTGAGCTTGAGCACTGCTCGATAGCACTAACCCACGGTCTCCGTTATTTATGGATATTGCTGACAATTCCAAAGAGGGGAAGGTTAAGCGCAATCAAGTCGAATCTTCCGTAATGAAGATAATAATAAAGGATCATAGCGCGAATATGAGCACCTTCAAACAAGTTACTTCTGAAGTACAAGGACTAGAGGTCCCTGCCGCTCACAACAACACGGCGCAGTCAAAACAACTAATGTCAATGTTTAGGCGTCCAAATTCCGACTGGCGACTTGCTGAGTCCCTTCTCACGAATTGAACAATTCAGACTGTCCAATGCCGGCCATTATTAATGCCATTTTCTAGGGCCAGTAGCAGCGAAGTTATGTCTTGAAATCCGGGTAGACCACCACCATAGGCTGCTGAAACATATCCCCAAGCGATAACCAGTGGTGTTGACACACATTATCACCGAAATCAGTTGAGGGAAATATCAAAATTTCGAAGTCTCTACCGGTAAGGGAGGGCCGCTGAAGTGTTCCAAACAGAATATATGTTTCGATTCTTCTTTTTCCAACGGCAGTGCATACCTGAAATCCTGGAGTGCATTACTGCTTTGTCCCGTGGTGGATGTCACTACAGTGCATTTCAAAACTATAGACGCGTAGGGTTTTTGAAATATTTCAAATTTGCCTTGAACTTTTTGAGAATAGTTTTCGGAATATTGCTCAGGATCGCTCCACAATTACTCTCATATAGTTTCTAAAGGATTGGATAACAGACGCCCATTTTGGAAAAAATTATGCACAAAATGATCACAGATTTTATGTGGTATAGATGCTGGCATAACGGTTTTTGCCTAGGTACGCGTCTATAGTTTTGAAATGGACTGTACGGATGTCACTACGGAGACAACTGGACGGGACGTTACAGAGCAAAGCCATAGACCACGAGCACATATATTTCATGGTGTATCTGTGCAGGAGGTTTGCCACGGTCAGGTATGTCACTTGTGTTACACTTCCAAGTATACGAATAGTTCACCTTCACTCGTTATGTGTCAGCGATTGTACCGTGAAAATCTGACGGCCATGGTGGCATGATCTTCGAAGGCTACATCTCTGCTATCAAAGCGTATGTGTATGTTTGTAGTAAAGAGAAAGGGACCAGGGAACCACAATTTACGCTCTAACGTCCACTAACACCACCAGCTACTTGACAATCAGCTTAACCCTCATTACATGTTGACTTTTTTCCTACGTTCCCAGTATATTGGGGTCCTTTTGGCCACCAGGAACGTTTCGGGTGGTATTCTTGCAAACTCTCTATTTGATGTATTTTTTTGTTGTGTTACCTTCCCATAGATCAATGCTTTGACCAAACTGCATTTAACGACAGCTATGAAGTTTGTCCTGATTATTTGCCAGTTTGCAAGAATACCTCCCAAGACGTTCCTGGGGTCCAAAAGGACCCCAATATGCTGGGAACATAGGAATAAACTCAACATGGAATGAGAGATTATGGCTGTAGAAGAACATAGGGCTTCATACTTCAGTGGATGTCATCCATGTATTCGGTGACCATGGAGATAAATACCAAAACCATCGCAATTGTTGCACTTCCCTGTGTTCTATGTTCCTGGATTCCATTTGGACCCCGCCCGCAATTTCCGTAATAAAATTGAAATCCATCATAAACCTCTGACCCAGACTATTATTTATCTTGCTTATTATGTTGTTCAGGAATACAAAAAGGTTCAGCGACATGTAGAAAAGTAAAAAAATCAACAATCATACCCCTGGGGTTCGTTTAAACCCCACAACCTGGAATGAGGGTTGAGCGATAACATTGTACAAACGCGGACCGACAGTACCGATTTTCTACAACTACATGTACATGTAACTGGCTATCAGCTCTAGGACGTCTTGGGTACTCACTCTAATAGTGTTCCTACCTGGAAAGTTCAACAAAATTTAATAATGAGCTTCTGGATCCAAAAAGGGGGTTTATGTCATTTTTGATCGTCTTGAGTTTTCTATACCATGACATTGCTGTACCCAATCAGATCACTCTGTAAAACACCTATATAGGTACAAACTCTTGATCTTTCACTGAGTTATGGGTGTTTGAATGCGCATTTATGCATCGCTGAATACGGAAAACTCAACTTCCAAATCCATTTTTCTCAAGAGTGCGCCAAACGACATCAGCCCCCTTTTCGGATCTAGATGCGCCTATTTAAACAAAGGAGGGGTGGTCTTAGAGGACATTATTGTGGCTTCTTGGTCCTTTTTCTTTACTATAATTTAACCGTTGGCGGTCCATTCGAGTATCGCTATATTGTTGCAAAATAATTTTTTATTATACAAGATATGACACGTACATCAGCCGTTCGACAATTAAACAGAGGGTCAGATTCTGTACGGTACACAAAATTCGATCACCAGCCTCTTGTCAACGGATCAGTAAAGTGTGGTGAACAGACATCTATCGAGAAATGGACAATAGACATTTGGTGGTTTCACCCTTGGAGCTTGCCTTCTTCTCTGGAGCGCTGAATTTTTTGCCCATTTCCTTACTCGGCGTTGCGTCCTTACTGCCATTGCTCTCTTCTTCTTCTTTGCTTTTCATGCTGCGCTTCGACATTTCTTCTCGCCGCAGTTCAAGCAGAAACAGATCTAGATTCTCCATATCAAACAATTTTCTACAAGGTTTTCAAAAAAACCAAACCGTTGATATCAAATGTAAACTTGCCGCTACCTCTAAAAGAGCCTACTTCAGGAAATCACAGCTTGGTCTAAGCCTGTTTCGTGCTTTTATACGCAGTTAAAACGACTGACACCTTACATTGACGTACGTGTGACATATTCCGCAAGGCACTCATACTGTGTAGTGCCCGTTGCTGTAATTCGCATGCAAGTTGTGCGCAGTACGCCGTCAGACGTTTCGCTCTAAGTAGTTACATATGAAAATCTGTATATCGTACGCTCCGGGGAGCGAAGGCCACTTTCATACGTAAATCTCTCTACGGATGTCCGTAGGAAAGTTCTTTCGTACGCTGGGTCTTCCGCAGGGCTTTTTGAAATAATTTTTGCATTTTCCAGAATTATCTACGGCAACCAACAAGCCGCGCGAAAAACAGAATATAATGGGAAACTCGGTTTCGATTCGTGGTGCATGTGGTGGGCGCATGCAGTCAGCGCGTTTCCAAAAGCAACAAGGCATGTAAGCAAAGCAAACGTACCTGCAAAATTTGAGAGAAATCTGAGAGACCGACTTGCACATATTATGTTCTGGTTTTCTCAGACATGCTCTCTTAAGGGAGTCTTTGCAAAAAGGGAATTTTACAAAACCGAACGCCGCAATCTAACAGAACTCGCCATTATCCTTTTCATCTTGTACGCGAGTGGCCTACCATGACGTCCGCTTTAGCCGTGAAACATAGCTTGTTCACGTTATTCCTCAGTTCATACCGTAGCTTGGACCTTTCGAAGTTGGAAGTCTGTGGGTTGGTACTCTGAATTTGGGGTAAGGCGAGGATTCATGCCGTTGAATGTTTCAGTAGTCTGTGATCCTTTGCGCTTAATTATGGCACTTTTTGACACCTATGTGCCAGCCATTGTAGCGTGGGCATCTAATCTAACACTGAGCCCATAGTGGCGTGATCTTCTAACACCATAATTTGAGCAATGCTATCGAAGCGTGTATGTATGTGTAAGATTGTAGTAAAAAAAGACCAAAGAACCACAATTTATGCTATAATGTCCACTAACACCATCCGTTACTTCACAATCAGCTTATGTGATAACATTGGACAAACGCTGACCAACAGTGCCGATGTTCTACAACTAACTGGCAATCAGCTCTAGCACGTCTTGGGTGCTCCGTACAGTTTTGGGCGCTGAGTCGAAAGGTGAAGGTCCCACTTCGATCCCTCCAAGTGTTCTAGAGATAATTATATCAGTGTGAAATTGTCCTTTTTGGGTTGGGTGCGGGCGCTAGTGGATCATAGAGCTGTGGTGTGTTGTTTTTTCGTACGCCATGCTGTTAAGCATGAGCGGAAAAGCGGAGGTGGGCTGCAGTCTTATCTAGAGCG